GCATCAGTCGGTAACTCCACATACAGCTGCGCTACAGCACGACCACTATAGTTCCCACTATTCGTGACAGTGACTTCCACCGCGAATGCAACGTCCCAAAGAGCGGGATTGCCGCCGGCACCGCCTCCAGCTCGGGGTGCGGGTTTCGGAGTGGTGGAGTAGCCGGATGGGTAGGGGTATGAGGATGAGGAGGAGTTCGTGACTGATTGTGGGTTGTCGAGGTAGGGGTACAGGTAGCGCCAGATGCGAGAGAAGGAGGAAGGCCAGGCGACTTCGGAGGGGTTGGGGATGGCGGTGGAGTAAGATGGGGTAGGGCCTTTGGTTGGGCGGGCTGGGGGGTAGGCTGTATCTAGCTCAGTGACGGTTGTGAGGGAGGGAGTGGAGTAGGTGAAGGTGGTGTAGGAGAGGCCGTGACCGAAGGGATAGCGGGGGGTGATGTTGGCTTTGAGGAAGTGGCGGTAGTCGATGTAGAGACCCTCGGTGAAGTCGTCTTGAATTTGTCCGAAGGCTTGGTCGAGGAGACCGACGCTGGAGGGGTAGTCGGATTCCTCGTAGGGGATGGTGTAGGGGAGATGGCCGCTGGGAGAAGATGAGCCGAAGAGGATGTCGGTTAGGGAGTAGCCGGCTTCTTGGCCGGGGAGGTGGGCGATGAGCACGGCTTTGACGGGGTCGAGGTCAATCCAATTCTCGAGCAGGATGGGGCCGACGGTGTGGACGATTACGATGACGGTGGAGAAGACGTCCGCGGCGGCTTTGACGAGCTCGTCGCCGTTATGCCATGCGTAGAGGTCGGCGGTGGTGCGGTCGCCGGGGTTGTTTTCGACTGTGATGTAGTTTTCGCCTGAGTCAGCGTTAATGAAGACGAGAGCGATGTCGGAGGCGTTGGGTTTGAGGTTGGAGGGGAAGGAGTCTGTGATATAGAATTCTGCGGAGGAAGACAGGTTGGCGATGGCTTGCTGGGGGGTTACGAGATATGGGAGACGAGATGTGCCGCTGCCCCAGCCCATGGTCAGGACGCCGTTATCGCAGCCCTGGTCGGTGCAGGAGTTGAGCCCGTTGGAGTTAGGGCCGGCGTCGGTGCCGAAGATCCTGAGGGAATCACTGGTTGAGAGAGGGAGGGTATTATTCTCGTTCTTGAGAAGGGTGATAGCGTCGCGGGCGATGGCATGAGCGGTGATATTGTGGTTGCCCTGGACGTTGACATATTGGTTGACGACACCGCTTGGGGAGAAAAGAGCGCCTGGATAGAGAGGGCCAGTCTCGTCGAGGGTGTTGCTGGAGAAGTTGGGGAGAGGATAGTCCTCGTCCTGGCCCATTTTATACCAGGTCGCAACGATGCGCGTGACCTGGAAGTGTGAGAAATGTCTCTGTGGAAGAAGTGATGGTACTCACCATGTCATTGAGACGTTCGACGGGAACGGTACCATTTAGAATAGACCGAGAGAGCTCCGAACCCCAATAACTATCACCTAGCAGTGGAATGCTGCCATCTCCCGGCATACTCATATCCAAACCAGCCAATGCGGACGACACACCGCCGAGCTGAGCGAGCCAGTCCGTCACAACGAAGCCCTGGAAGCCGAGCTCATCCTTGAGGATGCCATTGATGAGCAGACTATTCTGGCTACACGCGGAACGGTTGACCTAAAAGACAGATTAGCGAGGGGACCATCGACTCGGAAAACAGTACACCTACATCATTATACGCCATCATCACCGACCCCGTCCCAGCACGAACACCCTCCGCAAACGGCCACAGATACAGTTCATGGAGTGTCCGATCATCAATATTCGAAGAATACCCTTGCGTGATAACACTACTCATGCGATGCATCTCTTGCTCATTTCCGATGAAATGTTTGAGACTCGCGATCGCCCCCGTACTCTGCATGCCCTGGATGGTCAACGCACCGCCGATGGCCTGAAGACTTGGATCCGCGCCAAATCCCTCCCAATTGCGGCCTCCCCTAGGCTTGCGGAACGTCGGACCGACAACAGGGCCCAAGAGTACATTAACACCCTTGCCACGAGCCTCTTCTCCGAGTTCGACGCCGCGCTGGTACATAAGCTGTTTATCGAATGTCGCGCCAACCGTAACGCCAGGAGGAAAAGCCGTGTTATGGTCCGAGTTGCGGATTCCCAGCGGGGAGTCATGAAGACAGAGATTCGGGATACCGAGTCGAAGCGCGCTTCCTGTTTGGCCCGCACAGGGGCCCATGAACATGCCGGTGCCTGTTGTGAGGTTTACCTTCTCTGCCAGTGTCATGTTGCTCACGACCTTTTGCGCCTTTTCGTACGCACTGGCCCAGTCGGAAAGCCAACCGCCGTTCGGGGCTGGGTAGTAGGGGGGTGAGAAAGCATCATCATCTCGACTGTGTAGGGGAGCAGAGGAGGCAGTCGACCAGGGGATAATACCTGCCAATAAGGCGAGATACAGAGGGAATTTCGCGCCCATGGTTGACTGTGCATGCGACCACGGGGACGTGCAAGAGCTGGGACGTACCCGGAGACGTCAGTGCGGATACCAGGCAGGAGATATACGCCGCCGTGCTCAGTTCCTTTCTGCCTACAAGGTCTCAGACTAGACTGGGTCTACCTGCCATGGATCATGGGGTCCCAGCTGGATAAATACAAAATCGTGGTCATGCCACAGCGCAATTGGGTCAGGCCCAATGACAGCACGGCCAAGGGGTGTAATAGCGACGCCATGTGCGCATGCCAAGGAAGCATAGTACTGCTCGGTCGCAAACAAGATAGAGGCATTGGGACGGGAAAACACAGGGACTGGGGGAGAAGAGCAAGTGATCAGCGGGGATGGCGAGGAGGGCCAACCCGGGGATGGAATGTCGGAGGGAAGATCCGTGTTTGCGGGCGGAGCAGATGATGAGGAACGGTTCATTATTGCCCTCATTTCAGCCGAAGCAGGGAAAGGATCATCCTGGATACACATTAGCCGAAGGAGAAACAGGGCTATGACAGCGCGGGGAATCTGCAGGATTGCTGCAAGTTGGTTGCACGGGGGATGTTGCAGGTTGCAGCTGGCGTGTGACGATCAGCCGAGGCTATTGTTAGACATATGCACGAGTTCGCTTGTGCGGTTTGGGAGATGATCATCGTCCACTATCTTCATGAGGGCGATGTGAATGGAGAGTTACGGTCCGTTGAGATCTTCAGGGGCAGTGGCAGACAGCCATCCATGGTTCGATTCAAAAGGAAAAAGGAGCCACTGGTATTCAACTAACTAACTACCAACCAGAAAGAACTATTCACCGTTCCTATCAACGCCGGGCCTATCCATGCATCCAACTCCATCGTAAATCCAACCAGCAGCAATACGCCATAAAAGAGAAAGAAAACTCCATGTTAATGCCCGACCATAAGCCTAAACCAAAGCAGCGCCCGTCAAAGGCCGCTAACCACCCAGTCGTAGTCCAGGCCGGTCGCTTCCACATCAACCTGCTTCATGAGATCACTAGTCTCCGGAAACAATGCACAGGGGCCCCGGGGACAACCCAAGTCTTTATGAAACAGGCGGGTGCATTGAGGCTCGGCCACATCCGAAAGAATTCGCAGTAGATAATCGATGCTCCATCCCTCATACGGGGCCTCGGGTGGCGGGAAAAGATCCTTGGGCTTCATCTCTGTCATCAGCTGTCCAACGACCATCGCGTCGCAGGCCGCACAGCAGCCGCCTTCCTCGAGGATAGATTCCATGCGCTGGTAGAGCGAGATGACGAGGGCGTCGACGTGCTTCTGGCGAAGACTATCAATGTGCTCTGTCCGTGTCATAGGTCAGTGTCTCACAATTGCAATCATTGAAGTAAAGAAAGATAGAATGATACGCACCCAGCAACAGATCAGGAATCGGCAGTCCTTGTTTCAAGATCTCGCCGGTACTTCCTCGAATAGCGACGCGAGTGATGTACCAAAAGAGACTACGATGACGGAACACCCAGGCGATGTAAATCCACTTGACGACATCATTGTCATATGCCTTAGGGATCGATTCAGACATGTTTATGACCCAGGTTTCACTATAAGCCATCAGGTTATTGTAACATCCAAAGTGCTCAGTCAGGAGAGCAATCATGCACAGGGTGTCTGGGGTAACGTGGCGTGGGACATTTGGGGCGCGACCGTGAACGGCATTAAGCAGGACGAGCAAAGCACCAAGGTTATTGAATCGAGGAGGAAGAGCATCGGCTTCTTTGATCTTGTCCTCACTGTTGATCTTCACTTGGAAGTAAGGGCAGGTATGGGCGAGTTGATCCGAAGATACTCTGATTCTGGCCTGCACGGTGCGGTTCTGCGAGACACTGTTAGTGGCTTGCTGTCCAGGGTTGGAGCCGATCAGTTCATGTTCGGGTGGAGCTGGGGCACTGCTCCGCCGGGGGAATTTGCTGATGGTGTCGACAATTCCCTGGAAGTAGGTTGGAACGGACCGGGTTGTGCGGTGGGTGGGATCTAAACAGTGAAATGTGGATGTTAGCATGGACATGCACGTGTAGAGACTAAGAGCACCGGTAGTGACGGCTGGATGAATCGGCACTCACTGAATCGTGTCAGGCGCGTATACATCTGCTCACCATCCGTTTCGACCACGAGGAGCATGTCCCCGCGGGCGTCGATGGTCGTATAGTTCAGATCCATGGTGATCCGGACTCTGGTGCCGCCGTGTGACTATGGGATGATGAAGATGCAGGTAAACATCAAGATCGCCGGGGCGAGCAGAACACTGGACTAAAATGCAGGAGAGGCGCCGGACTTAGCGAGTTGTCTGTGAACCAGTGAATGACTTGCCAGTGAATAAGAGCACACTTCAGTCATTACGCAGTCGACCATCATTACGCAAAACGAGATCTATACTTCTTCGTGACATGGTATTGTATTCTTTGTATCTTCTATATGCCTCGCATCATGCATTTCGTAAGTCATGATGACCATAATCTATCTATTCATAGATATCCACTCGTATGCCAGCCCGCCGGTCATCGGTGGCCCTAGTTGAAGTAGCCAGGGAACAGCCAGTTCATCCGCTCGCGAGCCTCAGGGCTCCAGTTGGGCTGGGCAGTGCTCATACCGAACTTGACGGATCCTTCGATGTGCTTGGCCTGCACCAGCTGCGAGTTCTGCTCAGCGGCCAGCTCGTCCAGCACAGCAGTCACGAAGCGCTTGGCGTTGACGGCGTTGGCCTTCATGTTGCCCATGACCATCTCCACGGTCACATCGGCGGTCGACTCGTGCCAGCAGTCGTAGTCAGTGGACATGCAAATCATCTGGTAGGCGATCTCGGCCTCGCGGGCCAGCTTGGCCTCGGGCAGGCAGGACATGTTGATGACGCTGCCACCCCAGGAGCGGTACAGCTTGCTCTCAGCGCGGGTGGAGAACTGAGGTCCCTCTATTTGTGTAATCAGTAAATGCGACCCTTGTTCCATCAGACAATTATCACATACCCATGCAGATCAGGGTACCGCGGTCGTGCAGGACCACACCCTCACCCTCCAAGCTGTGTCCACAGGCCCGGACGACCTTGGCGACACCCTCATCGAAGGGGTCACCGAAGGGAACGTGAGCGACGACGCCGCCCTCGAAGAAGGTGAAGGGACGGATACCCTTGGTGCGGTCGATGACCTGGTCGGGAACGACGAAATCGCGGGGCTTGATCTCCTCCTGCAAGCTACCGACGGCGGAGAAGGCGATGATGGTGCGGACACCGATGGAGCGCAGAGCGGCGATGTTGGCGCGGGCAGGAACCTCATGGGGAGCGATCTGGTGGTGCAGACCGTGACGGCTCAGGAAGGCGATGGCGACCGTCTGGTTGTTGTGGGAGCACTTGTGGTGCAGGATGGTGATGGGGGAGGAGGGGGTGCCCCAAGGAGTCGAGATGTTCAACGACGCAACCTGGGTGAAGCCGGGGAGCTCACGCAGACCAGTACCGCCAATGACGGCGATACGGACGGGCTCTATGGTCATAAGTAGCGATCAGTATGGATTTGTCAGGAGCACGATGCGCCGGGCGGGAATCGGACTTACCGTCGTAGGTGGAGGGAAGGGCGGCCATTCTTTGGGCGAGTTGCTTTGCGGACTCGATTCTCCTGAGGGGGCGGGATGGAAGAGTGGACAAGAGACGGCGCAGGGCAAGCAAGGGCATACAATAGCAGGAGAGGAGGAGGGGAGGAGACGGAGTGATTTGAAGTTGGAGACAATCGCAAATCTTCCATGGCGGGGTCATCACCCAATCGGGTAATCCGTTTCCGCCTGAGGCGGCAATCTTTTATGGCGCCCCACGTGCCGCTTCCTCAGGCACCATTCGTCCATTATCTCTTTCAGTTGACTAGCTTTACTCCTGTCGCTCCAAAACTTCTATTCTTCACGTGCTACAGTACTTTCTGTTACATAACTCTAGGATATAGGACTTATCACAAACCATCTACAGTCTGCATCTGACTGATGTTACGGATACAAAAAGAGGACTCAGAAATCCCCGGATCTACATAATATGATAGTATCATGACATGTGAATCTCTCTCATTACAATATTATCTTCTTCCCTTTACAACAATTACATCTCTGCATTAGGCTGGACGCCACTCGTAGTGGTGAGGTCCCTTCTTCACCGGGCCCGGATCCTCTCCAGGTACGCCCGGTTTGTAGTAGGCATGGGCGCCAAACAAATCCATCTGCGCCTCCATGAACTTGGTAGGCAGCATCGTCCCTCCTTCGTACTTCAGATACTCTAACGTCGCAGACAACGCGGGAATATACTGATCTGCTACTGTGGCCGCCAACACCACGTCCTTAAGCGCGTCGAAGTGCTTGTGCAGCTCCCGGGCGACCTCATCCAGGAACTTCATGTTAGTCAGATCAGGACGCATGAGCGGTTGCAGAAGATCTGCAATAGCTTCAGACTGAATGATGCATCCCCCACGCCAGATCTGGATACATTTGCCGAGATCGACGTTCCATCCCTCATCCTTGGATGCGCGCGCGATCAACTCCAGTCCCTGGCAGAATGAAGCCAAGAAGGAGCAGTAGACGGCGCGACGCAGCTTCTCGATGAAGTCTTTGGGATCTTTGGTGTCGATGGCCTTGGGACCAGGGATGTTGAGCTTCTTGGCAACCTCCAGTCGCTCAGCGCGATTACCACTAGCGATACGCATATAGTGCGCTGTAGCAAGCGTAGGACCGGCCACATGTCGGTTCGCGGTCTCCATAACCGACCAGTAGGGCGTTCCTTCGGTGTCATCGTCGTCCTGTACCACTTTGTCGAGCACGTCATCCAGCACGTAACCGCCGTTCTGACTGGCGCCTTCGCCTTGGTAGTCACCTTGAGGAGTCTTCTTCGTGCGCAGGATCTGCACACCAATGTCGAGCAGAAAGTTCTTCCGCAACTCTCCATTCGTGTTCCAGTCTTCAAATATATCAGAGATCTCCTGATACTCCATCCCCAATCCCCAATGAAGCAAAGCCCACGCCTCCGCCGTGGTAGACAACATTCCCCCCTCAATACCATTATGGACCATCTTAACAAAATGACCCGAACCAGCAGGTCCCACATTCGTCACACAAGGCTTGCCGGTCTTTTCATCCTTGGCAGCATACTGCTCCAACAACGGCAAGACAAGCTCAATCGCTTCCGGATCACCCCCAGGCGATAAACTCGGGCCATGGCGAGCCGATTGATACCCGCCCGAGACACCCATACCGATCCAACTGACGCCGAGTTCCTTGCATCGTTGCTGTCGCTGCTCAGTCCGTCGATAGTTCTCATTCCCGCCGTCGAGGATAATATCTCCCTTTTTTAGATCATTCTGGATCATATCCAAGACCGAGTCTGCGGGATCGCCATGGGTGATAGAGAAGATAAAAAGTTTCCGTTCCCCTTGACCTTCCAAACTCTTGGTGAATTTATCGATCTCGTAGAAGCCTTCCACTTTTCCCTTGCCGCTGAATTTCCCTTCTTCGTACCATTTCTTGATCCCGTCGACGTTTTCGCGCTTCACGTCCCAGATGGATACGTCCAGCCCGAGCTCGGTGAAGGCGAAGCTCATCATCGAGCCCATGTTGCCGGCTCCGACGATGCCGATTCGTTTGAAGGAGTGAGGCGGCATTATTACTGATTTATTTTATTGAAAATATGACTTATTGGGTTTACAATGGAATCATGTTGGGGCGTTGTGAAATGAAGCATTTTTAAGAGCTGCCGTGGCGCGGATAGGCCAGGCACTACTACTACTACTACGCACCCGTTACATCATGTGCAGACGTCATGGAAGACACCACTCACTCACTATCATCATGCTATACAACCCATCCTAATACATTATAAGCATGGCATGATTGATTGACTAAATAATAGATTCCACTGATCCGATCAAAACCTGCTGCACTATTTACTACAATATACAAAGTACCTGTCTGGAAGCACCGGAAGCCCTAACAACGGCCGGTTACATCATCCTGAACGAACCCAGAACCAACTCAATTGCGATACCTCTACAACCCAACCACCATTCCCTTCAATTCAACATTCTACTGACTATAATTGAAACTCAATCACCCTCAATCACCTTTTAAGACTTCAAATTCCAAATACTACCACTCCCACAAACGACTCACCACCCCTACATATAAAACAACTACACTCACAACCTCTACATTGAACATCCACAACAACCACAATGTCCCCTACAACAGAAATCAATAAAATCCCCCTCAGCTACGCAACCTGTTCCCTCGGCCCCCCCAGCACAACCCCCCTAGAAACCAAACTCTCCACCCTCCACGCCGCCTCCTTCACCGGCATCGAGCTCGCCTTCCCCGACCTCCTCGCCTACGCCAACACCCACAACCCCGGCACCACCCAGATCCTACCAACCGACTACCCGGCCCTCATCCGCTCCGCAACCGAAATTCGCACACTATGCGAATCCCACAATCTGCGGATCATGATGCTGCAACCCTTCGCCAACTTCGAGGGATGGCCTCGCGGTTCCCCGGAACGGGAGGACGCGTTCTCCCGTGCAAAAGGGTGGAGTGGGATTATGGAGTCGTTGGGGACGGATATGTTGCAGATAGGATCTACAGATACCCCGGAGGAGAAATTATGTATGAAGAATGGTGGGGTGGATAGGGAGGCAGTGGTGGAGGATCTGCGTGAGTTGGCTGATTTGCTGGGGAGGAAAGGACAGCGCATCGCGTACGAGAACTGGTGTTGGAGTACGCATGCGCCGAATTGGAAGGATGTATGGGAGATAGTTAGGGATGTGGGGAGGGAGAATGTCGGGTTGTGTTTGGATACGTTTCAGACGGCTGGGGGGGAGTGGGGGGATCCGACGGCTCCTGAGGGGGTGGTTGGTGGTGGTGGTGAGGATGTGAGGAAGAGGTATGAGGAGAGTTTGGAGGAGTTGGCGAGGACGGTTCCTGCCGAGAAGATCTTCCTGCTGCAGGTGTCGGATGCGTATAAGCCACTATCTCCGTTTGAGGATGAGGTGGTGGATGGGGCGAGGCCTAGGGCGCGGTGGAGTCATGATTTCAGGCCGATGCCGTATCATGGGGGGTATTTGCCGATTGAGGAGGTGGGGAGGGCGGTGTTGAGGACGGGGTTTAGGGGGTGGTTTAGTATGGAGATTTTTGATGGGGGGAAGTCAGGGGAGGAGGAGATTAGGGATGTGGAGGGGTTTGCGAGGGAGGCGATGGGGAGTATGAGGAGGTTTTTGGAGAGGTGTGCGGATGGTATCTAGGGCCTAGTGTAGGTTTACAAGTAGAAGGATGTTCCGGTGGACTGGATATATTTAATAACTAAACTATTCATACAACAATTTTACCGAACGCCACATATGCAAAACTCGTGGGGAATATGGAATATGCCAAATAACCATCTCTCATCACCATCCTACTGACTCCCTTAAGCATCGTTGCTGGGGTAGGGGACCTTGTAGGTAGGGACAAACTCCTCCTTGATTGACCGCAGACTGACGAAGCGGGACAGCAGGTTGCCACTGCCGGCCTTGTCGTTGGTACCACTGGCACGGGCACCACCGAAGGGCTGCTGGCCGACAACAGCGCCAGTGCTCTTGCAGTTAATGTAGAAGTTACCGGCGGTGTTGCGGAGAGCATCGTCGGCGGTGCGGAGAACCTCGCGGTCCTGGGCGAAGATGGAGCCGGTCAGACCGTAGTCGCCGGTCTGGTCAACCTTCTCGCAGATCTTGGCAAAGTCGGCCTCGGTGGCATCGGCGTAGGTGTGGATGACCAAGACGGGACCGAAGAGCTCGCGGGAAAGGAGGGGGTGGTCGGGGTTGGTGGTGTGGTAGACGGTGGGCTGAATGTACCATCCCTTGGAGGAGTCGTAGCTACCGCCGGCCAGCAGCTCGAGTTCGGGGTCGTTCTTGGCCTCGTCGATCACATTGGCCAGCTTGTTGAAGGAGGCCTCGTGAATGACGGGACCGCAGAAGTTGGTGAAGTCAGAAGGCTCGCCGACCTTGATGTTCTTGGTCTCAGCAACGACGTTCTTGATGAACTCGTCGGCAATGGAGGCGGCCACGTAGGCGCGGGAGGTGGCACTGCACTTCTGGCCCTGGAACTCGAAAGCTCCACGGACAGTCTGGACGGCAGCGTTGCGGACATCGGCCGACTTGTGGACCAAGTGGAAGTTCTTGCCACCAGTCTCACCAACAATGCGGGGGTAGCTGCGGTACTTGCCCTCAGCGACGCCGTTGGCAATCTGGCCGTAGAGGCTACGGAACACAGCAGTGCTACCGGTGAAGTGGAGGGCAGCAAAGTCGGGGTGGTTCAGGACGGTGTTGGTGACCTCCGCGGCATCACCGGGGACGAACTGGATGACGTTCTTGGGCAGACCGGCCTCGAGGAGGATCTGGTGGACGAGCCAGTTGGAGGCGATGGCGGAAGGAGAAGGCTTCCAGACGACGACGTTACCCATCAGGGCGGGAGCACCAGCCAGGTTACCGCCAATGGCAGTGAAGTTGAAGGGACTGATGGCGTAGACGAATCCCTCCAGGGGACGGTATTCCACACGGCTAGTCAGGTTAGTTTCATCCATAGACTGCTATTTTAGATCGTGCCTGACTTACTTCCACACACCAGGGGCGTGGTGAACGGGCTGCTGAGCGTACAGGTCCTCGGCGTACTTGACACCGAAGCGGAAGAAATCGCACAGCTCAGCAGCAGAGTCGATCTCGGCCTGCCAGGCATTCTTGCCCTGGCCGTGCATGGTCAGAGCCATGATGTCATAGCGGTATTTGGTCGAGATCAGGTCAGCGGCCTTGAGGAAGATGCTGGCACGATCGGCGAAAGAGGTAGCAGCCCACGACTTGCGAGCCTCGAGGGCGGCGTCAATAGCAGCCTGGACCTCGGCGACGGAGGCGTTGGAGTAGGTAGCCACGGGCGCATGGGAGGCGGGGTTGCTCTGGGTCTCGACCTGGGAGCTCTTGATCTGCGGGGAGTTAGAATTATCCAATTGTTTCTGCTACTCGCATGTCTGCTACTAACCTCCTTGCCGGCAATCACCAAAGGCACATTGAGGGGACCGCTCTGCTTGGTTCTGGCGAGGGCCTCCTCGAGACCACGGCGGTCAGGAGATCCGGATGCGTAGTGTTTCTGCAATTGAGTCAGTAGACTTGACGATGAGCGCCATTTCATCGTTACTCACGTTAGGCTCGTTGTCAATGCGAGGAACCTTGAAGGTGGCGTAAGAGCCCATAGCACGAGCGCTCGTGCGGGCAAGGGAGAGGGAGGGGCATTTGGCGAGGGAAAGGCCCCGAGAACGCAGGAGCAAAGAGGACTGCATGATGGATTGTGCTCTTCCGAGTTGTAGCAACTGGACGAGGACTGAATCCGAGGGGATGAAAAGTAGGAGAGATGAGGAGAAAGTGAAGCAGACGCGGGGAAGCTCCGGTGATATAAGAGGCCCGGTTACTGCCGGCCGTGGTTAGTCAGCGCGCAGGATCCCTGGGTGGCACAAAGTACACTGCAGTTCAGGAAGAGAGACAAGGTCCTATCCAGCGAACCAACAAGTGATTGTCCTTGCAGCGTACCGGCAACCAATGGGCCGGGCAGGAAATGCAGGCAGATCTGATACTCTGCTGTCGCGCTAATCAGTACCGCCGGCTGGATTCCGGGTGGAGCTGCCTACCGGCCCGGACACCTCCACCGGCAGCTGGTCTTCCGCTGCTTTTTATTAGGAGGCAGATAGTGCTGGACACGCATGAAAATCATGACTAACGGGAACCTGTCTTTGTTGGATTTTGGCATCAGTTAATTCTAAGTAGACAATATGAATATGAGTTGAATTGTGTTGTTTTCTGTGATGCCAGTGGTAAGTCTCTCCGCCTCCGCATTGATCCCCCGCATTACGAGCGATCGCTCTGGATTCTCCGCTGTCTGACTCGTCTTTATTAAGCTGGAAGTTGGTCTTAATAATACCACAAAATGAGACACTACTTACCATGCATGAAGTCAATTGAGAGCTCAAAGCACCTCCAGAATTGATGACGAATGCCGAGTTTGATCCATGCATGATGGCTGCATACCGACTAAATGACAAAATACGTGGAGCGGCAAAAAGACGCGGAGATGAATACCGCAGCAAACCGACGCGTGACTTGACCACCTGACCTCTTCCATGACTAAATTACGATGGATCAATACAGCTACTACTCTTTTCGGTTATTGTGGGCAATGACAAATATCCAAGCCATTGGGCTTCCATTCTTGGCCATAACGTTCAATCTATGTACATGTGTTGTGCCTAGAGAAGTTGCAAATATATCCTCAGGCTTCTGACTCAAGTGGTGAATTCTACAGTAGTACTCAAGCAATCCACCACCACACCCTCTCCAGCCAATTACGCGGCTTCCGCTCAAAGTCGTTCTCGCAGAGCCGGTCGATCTCCTCCTTGCCCGTGAACACGTCAATCTCTGACACCTTGGTCATCCATGGGGTCCGGTACCACACTTTGTGGCCCACATAAAGGGCCAGGAAAATAGCTACCACGATATACGACACCAGAAAGTCGGCCGCAGTGAAGTTGCCAGGGAAGAAAACCGCGTAGCCGTTGGTGATGGTCAGGAGGGACACGATCAGAATCACGTAG